GGGGGGGTGGTGGGGGGTGGTGGGGGGGGGGGGGGGGTTACCCGAGCGAATATTTTTTCATACGACATTGTAAATACAATAAAAGAACGTTGATAAATACCTCCTGCAACCTACTTCGCGGTAACTATTGCGATGTCAAAAGCGTATTCCACATATCGGCGAACAATCGTTTCCGGGGTATTTCGGGCGCGAAATCGTAGGATAATTATAAGGCAAGAGGTGCGTCAGCACGACATTATCATAGTCATAATAACATTGGCTGTGTAACAAATAAATTAATAAAATGCAGGAGACGACAATGACGTGGAGGACAAGAAGGACGCCGCCAACAGCGACGATGATGATCTCGCGTCATGTATAATGCATCGGATCGCGTGCCGTCACGCAGAGTTGGGTCAGCGCAACTGTCTCCAGGAGTGTAACAGTGCTCGGCGCGGTAAGGGGCTTAAGGATAAAAAGAGAGAGAGCGTGCGCGAGCGTGAGCGAATGAGGGCAGGAAGGGGGGGGGGGGGGGGGGGGGGGGGGGGGGGGGGGGGGGGGGGGGGGGGGGGGGGGGGGGGGGGGGGGGGGGGGGGGGGGGGGGGGGGGGGGGGGGGGGGGGGATGAGAGAGAGAAGGAAGGGTAGGTTGCCTCCTCTAGTCCCCTTGGCGCGAGATGAGTATCGGGGTGGCAACTCGCGGCACGCGTCGGCCTCGCGCCAATTCAATGGGGCCTCCACCTCCTCTTCCTCTTTTTCTGACTCTGCGTGCACCTTGACGTCCCTCCTCCCGCTTCGTTGCACTGCGCAACAAATGTCCGACTGCGCGCGGTAGACGCTACCCGCTATTTAGCTTTTATACCGGCCAATGCCTTTATCAGATAATTTGCTTTTCCATTATCTAGTTCGGGGAAGTTACGGGGCCCTCGCTTCCAAAAGCCGCACTTACGGTATTCTACTACTGCGACAGGCGTTATTTTGCAATTCTCTGACCGCGATTAAAAGACGCGACGCTCAAGTTGATACCTCGCTATTTCAGAGCTGACTTCCCTTTGATTATGAATATTCATTAGGTTGTATTACGCGCGCGTGCATCCTTGAAATATTAAACGATTGCACATCGTTCCGTTAAAATATCCTATTTAAGAGACGAGCGCGTAATATTGTTTAATGTCCTTTGTGTAATGAAGGGAGGGCAAACGCATGACAAAGATTGAAATCGTGAGTTAAGTGATGGCAACGTACGTATTAGAAGACGACGAGGAAAAAGAAAAAAAACGAAAGACATAAAAAATTGTGACGAAAGAGCTATTCGTATCATAAGTTCAGAAATCACTTATCTCATAAAGATTATATTAGACAGAAGGGGTCACTTAGTGTGATCCTATCTGGCATCCAGATCGGTACCATTAAAGAAAATGAAAGGAAAATTGGAAAGCACTCGGTAGTATCGACAGAGACGCGAACACGACCAAAGAAGGATGTTAATTTGAGGACACTCCTATTGCTTGTATCGCTTATATCCCGATGATCTAGGATGCACCCGTTTTCGAGTTTAACGCACTCGTAAATATGGTGAGCAGGGCAAAAAGTCAGGAGGGGCAAAGTGAGAAGTGGCCACATGGCACGAGCCCTCGCATCCTGGTATCCATACGCCTCTTAATAAGGGGTCTCTTCTTTCTTGCTCAACCCCCGTCCCTCTCTGCCCTCGCGATCGACCGCCCCTCCCCGACATCCCACAGTGCCACAAGCCACTCTCTTTTGCTCTGGTGTGGTAGGCGCGTGTCATCTGTTGCTTCGGTTGGTGCACGCCGCCGGTGCATGACGGCACCCTCGCCTTGTCGTTGAAAATAGACTTTTAACGATGCGATAATTGCCAAAACTAGCCATACCAGACCTCGGATATGATAACCGATGCAGAACGAATTATCCGACCGGCGCATTCTTTTGCTTTTGAGCTCGTAAATCGATCGTTTCATTTTTCCTTTATTCCTTTTTTTCAATGATTTCAGAAGGGGAGAAATTGATTTCACTTAACGTCGCGGGGGAAGACCGACTCGACAGATATGACAGCGGCTTTATAATTTATAATTACAATGGAGCTAATCGATGTGGAAGTGACTCTGCGGGATTCTAACGAATTGCCATTAAATTTTACGTTACGAACGTACTTTTTTCTTTTTTCTTTTTTTCCCGTTGCACTTTTAACGAATATTATATATATAACTAAATGCTTTATTTTGTAATTCTGTTTTAAAATTCATTCTAAGGAATAACATTTTTCAAGAATTTCGAATTGAGATTTCAAGTTTTCAGACCTTTTACATTTTATTTTTACCTTTTACCTCTTTTACATTTTCTATCCTAGCGATTTGTAAAATAATGCCATATGCTGCATGTATACAAATCCTTTATAATATCAGAAAAATGAAAACTGAAATCTCTAATAATGATATTTGTATTTGATTATTAAGCGTCGATTCATTCGAGAAGATATTCAAGACGGAAAAACGATAAAAAATAAGAATCATCAAATTATATCGTAATGTGCTGTAATCGAATGCTGAACGATTTATTTTAATGTCATCGTGCAATGGGCAATGACGTCATTAAAATTAAAATTTCAGTCAATGCTTCGAAGAATGAATAATTATAAAAAAATTAATTGAAAGGAAAATTCAATCTATATATATATATATATACATATAACATTTCAATGGTACAAAGTAAAAATCTCACGTTAAAATTTCTACATCCTAATTAATTTTTTTTTTTAATTTTTATTATATTTATATATATATATATATATATATATATATATATATATATATATATATATATAACTTCATCTATGGATGAATGAGAAAATATTATGCGGAAAATTCCTTTTTTCTACTTCTTTTAGAATTTTAATGAATTTTATATTTAATTGTAATAAACTGAAAAATAATAAAATAAGTTCAAGTTAGCATAAGAAGATTTTTAAGTCAATAAATTTATACTCGATTTACACTTAATAAATAAAAATGAAAAAACAAATCAAAAATATTGTGTCAATATTAGTGTAAAATAAAGTGATTTAAAAATATTGTTACTTATAAATTAATAGCATTTAATTCTTAAATTTCATACCAACTTTATCTATGATTTATCATAATAGCAATTGTTAGCAAATAAAGCCTTTCTATTTTCATTAAAAAATTAATATTCCTTATTTTAAAAATAAAATATACATGTTTTTCTTTTTAAATTATATGTTCAAATTAACATAGTAATTAAATAATTATTTATTGTAAAATAAATTTATTGACATTCTGTGCATGCATTAGTTTCTAATAATAATTATTTTTAGTCTTTAATACTCAATAATGCTAATTCATCTGATTTATTAACAGCTGCTTCCACGGCATTTATCATACTCGACCTAAAAATTACAATAAATAAAATTAGAACATCATTCTTAAATCATTCGAACGATTGTCAAATGTAAAATTATTAATAATGCATATACACCTTACACCACCACGTTCAATTTCAGATATTCCAGCTATAGTAGAGCCATTGGGAGAACACACCTCATCTTTCAATTGTCCTGGATGCTTTTCTGTTTTTAGGACCATTTTCCCTGCACCGACGAGCACTTGAGCTGCAAATTTTGTAGCTAATTCTCGAGGTACACCTTTTTTAACTACACCATCCGCAAGCGCTTCAATTACGGTATACAACTAAAATAATATGTTATCTTATAAGATATCGTTGGCTCAATTATTGATAAATAAAAAGTTTAAGAAATAAATGTTATATTACATATGCCGGCCCAGAACCTGTAAGACCACCTGCACTATTTATTAGTGATTCAGAAATTTTTTCACACATACCCAACAGCGAAAATAATGTCTTTACTATTTTTTCCTCAGCTTCAGGAACGTTAGAACAACAATAAACTACAAAAGAATTTTTTTATTTACAGTTTGATTATTGTTCAAGAATTTCATTTAAAAAATCTTAATAACAGACCAGTTATGCCCTCAGAAACCATCATTGGTGTATTCGGCATAGATCTTACTATTTTTGGATTTTCATCGATTTTTGATAGTTTCTATAATTTATGATTCAACAGACGTTTATGTGCTGCTAATAATAATTGTAAATAATATTATAAATCCTTGCTTACTTTTACTTACTTCTTCCAAAACGTTTAATGAAATTCCAACAATTACAGATATATAAAGTTTTCCTTTAAACACACCAGAAGGAGATTTGCAAGTTTGTAATGCTTCGTTCAAAATGTGTGGCTTTACAGACAAAAAAATTATATCACAATGTTCTATAACTTCATAATTGTGGAGCGTGGCGTTCATGCCATAATCTTTCCAGACACTTAAAGTTTTCTCCGTATTACTTGATGCCCATATATTATTTGGTTTCAAAGCATCTAAAATAAAAATTATATAATAAGACATCAATTATAATAAATTTAAAATTGGTAAATAACAATAAAATAATAAATCTTATACATACAATATAATAAATAATATAATCAAGTATTACAAATAATTTAATATATACTAATGGGACAAAATAATCAGTTAAATTATATATGGAAAATAGACGAACTTTTTTTTATAAGTCCTATACCAATTGCTTGAGCCATATTTCCTCCTCCAATAAAACCAACGGTTTTATCCAATAATAAATCAGACTTTTGCATACTTGTCAATGAATTCTCTGCAAAATAAACTGTAATATAAAAGCATGAATTCAATCAATTCGATGTAATGATTATAATTACGATTATTCGATATCTTACAAGTTAACCGACAGACTAATTATATCAAAATACTTTATGGACGATAAATTTAAAAGTACGTTTAAACAACAATCATATCAATGCGATATATCTATTAGAGAAATCTCGTACAGAAAATTAATGATAACAACACGTACATGCGTTTATAGCAATGGAACCACCACGATGCGAGAGCTTTAATCATTAGTCTAGTTCCATAAGGTATAAAATATCCAAATTTATTTAAATATATATTATACAAACCTCTACAAGACATAAAAAATAGTCTAATCATTTTATATTTGAAAATAAATTCAAAATCAAATATTCAATAAATTAAGGAAAATATTTCTACAATTTATTTATTAATAAAACAAAAGCATTTCGATAATTTTATTTGAATTTGTAAGAAATCTAGGGAAAACATGGTAAATAAATAAATAAATAAATAAATAAATATATATATATATATATATATAGAGAGAGAGAGAGAGAGAGAGAGAGAGAGAGAGAGAGAGAGAGAGAGAGCGACAGGAGAAATCCCTAGAAATCTACGCATGCGTATACACTTGTAATCTGAGATATTCTATGCTACAAATTGTTTCAATGCATCTTACATTGATAGTGAGCCAACCAAATTTGGCAATTATTAAATATCTACGAAAGTAAATTCTATAATATCAAATACTCACCCATCTTAGTAATCCTTTTACTGTTGCGGATTATAATCACAAAATATTGTTGAATTTCAATATATTAAGGTTTGTCAATGCTGACACTCATCTTATCTCTTTTAATGATGTACTTTTAATACAATACCACTAATCAGTACTGTTTACTAATTCGAAAAAGATATGGTTAATAAATCCACACTACTCGAATATGATAGCGAGTAGTTAAAATCACGGATTTAATGCAGTTCACGTGTGCGTTACAAAACACATGTGATTGATTGTACGAAGCACACATAATTTCTTAAAAAACTACGGATAAAGAGTTGGCAAAAATATATATTATATTATGATATAGATGTATAAATAGAAAAATTTAATTTTCTTATAAAATGTGACTAATAAATTATTATGCTTATTGACGTTAGGATCAAGAGTTATTTGGGGCATTATTCCGTTTGATTTTCTTTAAAGCCAATTGTTGCTTGTAGTTATTATAATTATAATCAGAACAATAACTAAAATTATAATTCACTAGCTTATACATATAAATATTATATTTGCAAGATACTGTAAATGTATCATAATCGAAATAAAAATTCTTTATAAATTCATTTGATAATGATATTAATTAAATGAAAAGACAGATATTGTCATTCAAGCTTACCTTAAAATTAACTGTATTTTCCAAATTAACTAGACTTGATATTTTATTATAAGATTAATTTATAGTATTATCTTAAAAGAATTGAAAAGCTTTTTAATTTAACTATTCATTTTCAAATTAATCTAGCATATAAAGTTGATATGAAATGAGTAAAATTCTGATTGATATACCAACAATTATTATTAATATTTATGCCTTTTATCTTGTATAATTAATTCACGGCCTAATATAATAAAGATAACGTAAAGGACGTACAACTTTGTAGATTATCATTTATAATTAATGAAGCTCAAACAAATCTTGACATTTTTAGTCATTCAATTCATAAATCAATGTTTCGATTTTTGTATCAATTTTTATTAATATATTTTTAACAAAAATCTTTTGATCTTTCTATGAAAGTTTAAATATAATTTTATTTGAAAAACTTGATGTTTCGCTTGTTCTTTTTTTGTCGGTATAAAATAATAATTATTTTTACCCTATGACACTTTAGTACGTAATTAATTTTACTTTTATTTTTATTTTCCCACTGTTATTAAATGTTGAGTCTAAGAATACATATTTTTCTAATAATAAGTTTGCATTAAATTAAGAAATTATAATCATCGAATATAAGCAAATATTAAAGAATTCGAGAACATCGGCAATCTTTTTTAATTGCAGTGTACAAATTATTTCGTTCTTATTGCTATCAATAAGTTTCATATTTGATAATTTTAAACATATTTTAAACATTTATGTCGTTAATTTAATTGCTTAATTTTCTTTAAATTCGTGATAATTTTGTTGCGAATAATAAATTGTCTTTAATTTATCAAAATTTTATTTTCAAGTTTTATTTTTTATGTTTTAATTTAACTATCAATTTAAATTCTCATACCCATAACTGTCTGTTCAATAATACACTTAATTTATTAACTAATTTTTACAATTTTGCCTACCAAAGCTCACACTCGCCCTTTCCCTTTTTCATTATTATTTTTCATTTAGAATTAGATTTTATTTTGATTATTTGAAAGCATTAAAATCTATTTCTTAAGCTGAAATATATAAAAGCACATCTTTAAATAAGAATTTACTTGTCCTTTATTACGTTACAACTAATTCACAATGGTAATAATTTTATTAATTAACAAAAATACGAATTGCACCACCGTCGATCTAAATCGAAATTCTAAATCGCCCAAATAATTAATTAATATTTTCTATTATTTATTAACCATATTTAAAAACAAAAACAAAAATAAAATAAAATAAATAAAAAAAAGAAACAAAAACAAAAAAAAAACTGCTTTATTACTCTGTATCAAGAATTGATAACAGCTGTGCTACATACACTGCCACTTAGTTCTTTTACGCTGCTTCTATGCGGAGTACCGATAACGCTTGTGGCACACTGGCGATTAGTTATTTTGACCTTTCTTTTATTAGTTTATTTTGTTTAATTGTTGTTTTTAGATACGGACATTCTGATTGCCCTAATACATAAGAGTTTTATATTTTCATTTTCTTTTCTTTTTATGTTAATAAGTTGAAAAATGCGATTCAAAATTTCTAATTTGTCTTGTTAAATGTTTGTAAATTATTTATTAATTAAAAACAGTCTTAAAATACATAATCATTTCTCGTGTGGTTTTTATATGTATAGATTACACAAAGTATTAATCTTCGTGTTTCTATGCGTTTATCGATTACATAAGCACTTAAAATTTTTACAATTATTACATAAATTTTTTATATTGAGATAACGATAAAAATACTTGGATATTTATTAAAATACATTATGATTCTGTATTATATTAAAAAATTAATTAATATAGATGATTTGTAATAAGGCGTTGTTTTTCACAATTATTATCATTTTTTTCAAAAGCTTTCGGCCACTCGACAAATTATTTTCTAACCCGATCAATTACAGCTAAGTATTTTCATTTTGATTTAATCTCACTAGATGAAAATACAAATGTGTTTCAACCATAAATTTCACAACATATATGTTAATCGTAACGGCGCTTTTTTTATTTTTATGAATTTTTTAATGAATTTTTTCGTATTTCAAAATAATATTAAGCTCATATAATGTCTTTGGTAGTGCTAGTGTAGCATAATATTGTCAACTCTTTATTAATTGACAGCACAGAATACTAATGAATCTGACAGCATTTCATAGACATTAACCTGAGTTATTATTCATTTTAATTATTATACTACTAAGATAATTGACTATTTAATAACTTTTTTCTCTTATCGCGATAGTGAGTATGCGAACAATAATAATTGTGACTTCATGATACAATTCATTGCTGTTGATATTTTGCCACAATACTTATCCTCTGTTTCAACCACCTTTTTCACTGTTTTATCGATTTAAAAAACATCACTTTTATTTTACATTTTATCTTGTTTAACAATTAAGATTCTCATTTTTTTAATTATTGTAAATTTTTAAAAAAAAAAAAAAAAAAAAAAAAAAAAAAAAAAGAAGGATTAATGTAAGATGTAATTGCGTGCACTTAATTTTTTTAAATGATTGAATATTTTTACATTTGTTGTTTATTTAGAGTATTATTTCTTATACGGGCAATTATTTTGATTCAATGTTTGAAAAAAAGTAAATTTGATCAATATGTTCAATCTGTTCTTCAAGAATGTAGGCTTAACATAGTCATCAAATTTTTGTTTAATGCTTCCAGCCTTAGTAGTAGTAAGAGTATATAAATCATTAAGAGTAAACCAAATATCGATGATTTAATTAATTAATTTTTTTTTTTTTTTTAACTGTATAAGTTTTTTATATCCTATACTCAAGCACACAGTGATAAATAATTCAATACCCTCGATTCAAATTTAAATAACTACAAATAATAAATTAAAATATTAATAAAACGCAAAATTTTACTGCCAGCTGCAATGCGTAAGTGCTAGATTCCTTAGTCATTTAAAAAAATGCACATTATAATGTACTTTAATTTTTAGTATTTGAAGTAAAGTGTACAAAAGTCAATCTACTGAATTTGCATATTACTCAAGAAATTTTAATTTAAGTCTCTAATATTGAATTAGACTATATATCGCGATAAGATTTTCAAGTTTTTGTTCGGATTCTCTTTTTAATATATTTATCTGTAATTATCTCTAGTAAAATATATATTCACTTAATCATCCATTACACTGATCTATGCTGTTTTTATCCACAAATTCACATAAAATTTAATATTCTATGGCTTTAAATAATTTAAATTGAATAATCATATAATAACGTTTTTATTGAAGTATTTTCCTACACAAGGTCGTAACATCCAATGCATTTTATTTCAATGCACCTTGTATATAATACCATATATATAACCTAAAAAAGTATTTGTTATTTATTATTATAAATGGGACATCATAATATAAATAATATGAATGAAAAATGAAAATCAAAAGAATATCGGAAATTGATATGTGAGAATAATTTCATAATTTATAAAAACTCAATAAAGTGAAAATGAACTTTTCCACTATTTAAATTTTCCCGCAATGATGGAATTATAATATGTAACCAAAGTTATTTCAAGTGAGAATGAGAACCACTGAAAGTCGATTGTTGATGAACGCTGCTGTGTAAAGTAAATTCTGTAAATCACTACCTACTTCGTTTGTAGTTCTGTTTGTGGATCGCTGGTACTTGATTCGTTGCTGCATTGCAGCTCAAAATAGACGTAGAACCTGACACGTTAGTAATCAATTCATTTATTAAACTAGTAGAGAATTTTATTTCAACGACTTTCTCTAAAACTTTGCACTTTCTTTAAATACAACTACTAGCCTACTTTCTCTCTTACTGTCCAGTGCATGCATATACCATCATTGTTGTTCTGTTACGTACGATAAAGTTATGAAATCTTTTTCTATCAGTATATCTGTGCGGAAGGCTTCAGTTGTGAAATAACATGGACCAAAGGGGCCCTCCTGAGGGGGCCCCTGTCATTGTCGCTGACCCCATGGATATGACAATCATAGATAAAGTTTGCAGCGAATCAAATTGGCCTGATGATAACATTGTTTCATCTTCAACCTTTTGTGATCATCCCAAAAAGCTTAACAACAAACTCTTATTCTTGACAGTAATTATTTTTTATTATAATTTTAAAATAATGCACGCGCGCATCCACCCACGCATACCCACGCATATATATGCATATATGCATATTTATACGTCGCGTGCGCGCGCGCGTTTGTGTGCGCGTGTTTTTTTTATATATATTACATATATTTATATGCATAGGCATAACTACACTTCTGTATCGTATATTTATTACATGTGCATACACGCCCGCGCATGCACATTTTACGCGACCCTGCATATATATATATATATATAATGCATGCACACATAAATATACATAAAGTATATATATACATAATTACAATGTTATTAATTATGAATCATTTTTAAGCTTTTAAAAAGTATAAAACTTTGTAAACGTGAAAACTTGAACATTTATTTTACTTATTTATTATTTCTTAAATAGTAAATAAACAATTGTAAAAGTATAAATTTGATAAATGATATTTGATAAATATAAAAATATTTAACCGATTAAGAAATTGTAAAAAATTGTTATAATGAGAGTCCTACTTTTAGGTTGAATATGTTGAAGAACAAGCAAGAGATTTTGGAAGAATGTATCCATCTTATGAGCAAGTTTCTTTTTCATCAAGAGCAAATTCTCCTTTATCAGACTTTGAACACTGTGTCAGTCCTCATGATCCGAATATGAGCTCTGCTGCAAGATATTCGCCAACACCAGTCCCACTGCCCTCTTCACCTTTCCATAACTCGATCGTTGTCCTTCAAGAGCCATCATCGCCTCTTATATCAACATCGGAATCTGCCGTACGAATCACTAATGGATACTCATCTCAACTTACCGATCAATCGTCTAACCCCAGTATTTCTCAAAGTGAAAACTCGCAAGATTTTACAGATAGTACAAGCGACGAATTGGTTTCAAGCGTTGGTAATGAGTTGATGCTTATACAAGGTATTTATTTTACTTACATATATTTATAAGTCGTTTTTATTTATTTTAAAACGTACCTAGATATTATCCATTACTAAATGAATCGCCATAAGCTTGAAAGATATTTTACTTTATTGCAAATTATCACATTAAAATTAAAGCATTTTTAAAATTACAAATTTTATTTAGGTTCAAATTCTGACTTGGAGCCTTCTTCTACTCCGCTTATGCTAGCGGGAATACCAGGATCTGATTTAGCTCTTGCAAGAGATTTTCTTGTTATGCAAGAAGATCAAATGAATGTTATGAATTCTATAAAATTAAATTCAAGCCTTCATTCCAATGTTAATGAAGTTACTGAAACCATCTTACCGCATGATATAGATGAAGAAACGAATGCACAAATATCATCAATGAAAAGTTATAAGAAGTTCTCTGAACAATCTGAGAGAATTTTGGATTCTGATAAGAAAGATATTTATTGGTGTAAGGATCAAATTAACGAGGACAGCTTATGTAAGTATTTTCATTTATTTATACTATTTCACTACTTATAAGTTATGAGTACACTTTACTGTTAATAAATTTTCTTAGACACTAAATATAAATTATAAGTATATTTGTAATATTTTCACATATAATGTAAACTTACTTGAACAAATTCTTTATCGTTAAGATGAAATATGTTTTAATAATACTGTGTACGCTTAGGGTACGAGGACTGTGATAGCACTTGCACAGATGCAGCCGACTGTACCTTGCATAGTGTGTGCACCATCGCTGATCAACCTGTTCCTTCTAGAGCGGTCGCAACATTACCAGATCTTTATTTATCAATTGATAAGCTATCGGCTTCGGATATTACCGACGGATCGCCAGAGTTTGGAGTTTTCGCAAAACGAAATATTCGTCGTCGCACTCAATTTGGTCCAATCGAAGGAATTTTACATCTTTATGATGGATCACAAATAAATAGTTTGCCACTGCTATTAGAGTCTAAAGAAGAGGGAGAGTTTTTGCAAATTGATGTATCGGATGAAAGTCAGTTATATTCTTTTAATGTACAACCCTTAATGTATAATTTAACAATAATGTATTATTTAAAATTTCATTATTTTTCAGATTCATCCAATTGGATGCGTTTTGTAAGACCTGCCCATACCTACGAGGAGCAAAATCTAATCATATGCCAGCAGAACGATGGAATAATATTTCTAACAACCCGAAATATAATGCCCCAAGAGGAATTAAAAGCCGGTCCTAGTCTCGAATATGGAAAGCGTAGAAATTTACCAGTATTTGAATTTAAACACGCAAATATAATTGGTAAACAATTTGTTTATTGTTTTTATGGAATACGCCACGATGACATGTCGATATAATAATTACTCTTGTCCATTAGATTCCAATATGGAATTTTGCACTCAGTCACATATAAAAACTGGTCAAATTGAAATTGCTGATGAGAAGATTAAGAAAAATTCAATAATTGAAGATTATCGCAGTAATTCCTCAAAAGTTCTAATGAAACACAAAGCTGCTCAGAGTTCATTCCAGTATATAATTTTTTAATAATATTTAGAATGCATTGAATCTTGATTAATGAGGATTTAAATGTAATCGATAATTAATTTATTTTCAGAAAATATCTAGACATTATCGAAAACGAGGATAATATCATAACTAATTCAAAATCTCAAATTGAGAATAAAGTATCGTTTAATCATAAAGAGCTATCAAAATTTAATCAACCAGAGAAAGGGCAAGAAAATTTTCCAGATTCTAAATTAGAATTAATGAAACAAGAAGTTACACAATCTGATCAAATTGATTTAACAGAAAAAGCAATTAATGTTGTTTCTTCAAGTATTTACAAGTGCACAGCATGCTCAAAGCATTTTTCAACAAAATCCAAGTTGCAACAGCATTCTCTAGTACATGATATTAAAGACAATGAATCTTTATCGTGTAATATTTGTTCAAAAACATTTCTAAATAATTCTTCCCTATCTCGCCATATAAAAATACATCAAAGTAAGTTCACAAAATCAATTAAAATGATTCTAAACTGAATAAATTAATAAATAAAAAAAATAGAAAAAAAGAAGATTTTAATCAACATGTAATGTACCTATTTATAGAAGATGGTCAACATCTCGAGTGCGCTACATGTAAAGAAACTTATGGCCATATATTAACATTAAAGGACTTTGATGAAACAGATCTCAATAAAGAAGAAGAAACATTTGTCTGTCCTCATTACCAAAAATCATTTACTAGTCATAGTCGTAAGCATTCCAGAACTCAGCATTTGGAACGAAAACACGAGTGCCAGATCTGTTTAAAATGTTTTCCTGCAGCCGATAAATTAAGAATGCATTTATTGAAACATTCAGATCGCAGGTAAAGATTAATCATTATATTGGTAAAAATGAGAAAAAAATTTCCTACGGAATAACTGAAATTTAAAAAAAACTCTTTAAATTCAGAGAATTCCAGTGTGCAAATTGCGGAAAACAATTTAAACGAAAGGATAAACTTAAAGATCATGTGATTCGTGTACATCATACACAAAAAACTACTAAGGACCAAATCTTGTCAAATAATCGTGCCAAAAAAACAATTCCAAAGGTTGGTAGTAACTGTTCATGCATAAATTGACATTTTATTACAAGATTTTATAATCATGTTTTATTGAAGGTAAATCCAGTAGATTGTGACCGTTTTATTTACAAATGTCGTCGTTGCCAAGTCGGTTTTAAACGTAGGGGTATGCTCGTTAATCATTTAGCTAAACGTCATCCCGATGTCCCTCCTGAATCTGTACCAGAACTTAGCTTGCCAATTTTGCGCCAAACAAGAGACTATTACTGTCAATATTGCGACAAAGTAAGAAAATCTTAAATTAATAAAAATTGATTAACACTTTAGAGTAACGTAATGCGTATTACTTATCTTAAGGTCTACAAAAGTAGCAGTAAGCGAAAGGCGCACATTATGAAAAATCATCCAGGTGCAGCCTTGCCACCAAGCAATAGAAATAAAGAATTTGATATTCCTGGTTTACCTAATCCAACGTTCAGTCAGGCTGCTGGCAGTATTAAAACTGCTCCACAAGGATGCCAATGGTGTCACAAACAATATGCTAGTAAAGTAAGTTTTCATAAGCGTTTAGTTGATTTATTATTTGAATTAATTTAAATTCAATAATTATTATTAGACATTTAAGTATTAAATTGCAGAGTGTTAAAACGAAAAATAATATTATAACAATAATAATTATAATGACAATAATAATAATAATAATAATAATAATAATAATAATAATAACAATAACAATAACAATAACAATAATAACAATAACAATAATGATAACAATAATGATAACGATAATGATAACAATAATAATTATGACAATAATAATTTTAAATCAAAACTGTCCGTATAAATTGGTAAAAGAACTATAAATATAAATATCGTTAAGAATGTTTAATTATTAAATGCGAATAAGTAATATTTTTCTCAGCAAAACTGAAATTTAATGGCTCGTTTACAGGCGAAACTCTTACAGCATCAGCGCAAAAAGCATTCTAGTCTAATGGAACCTGCAGATCAAATTCCACGTCCACGAAGCCGTCCACCGCAGAATCAAAACCAACCGCCAGCATCGAATAACGCCAATATTAAAAGCTCGGGCATTACGAACGAGCATTATGAAATCTGCGAGGAACCGGAGGATCCAGAATTTATAAAACCTCGCATAATACGAATAAGCAGCGCAGCCAGTGACTCGTTGACCATTAACAACGGATTCGAGTTGCTGAACCCACAATTTACTCGCGTGCGGGACATGCGCTGAAGGGAGTCTAACGCCAAAGCCGTGTGATAGCGGACCGGAATTTTGACGAATTTAACGCCAGATATGAATCTCTCGGCGATCCAAATAAATTTTGTGCACAGCGAAACCTTGATAAGTCGCTGTGCTTGTTGCTGCTTCTGCCAGGTTGCAGGATGTGGAAATAAAGTAAGCGAATCGAGATGTGCAGCGAGGACGGTTTATTGAAATATGCCTGGAACGCAGTTTGTTGGCGCTAAATGTTGAGCATTTGGCGCTCACTCTGAAGCATTATCTCAGGGTGCTGTTGTTTTGTCCAATCGGTCGATCTCACAGTGTTATTTGACGATTCGTACCGTACAATAATGTCATGTCAAATTTCAGAGATAGACTTATTGTTGAATCTGTCTTTAGACAAGTTATAATAAATGGATTAGCAGAGAAACGACTGTCTTAAAAATTCTCGATGTGTAGATGAAACCAGGTTTCGACTTGCTAGTAATTATTTTAAAATCTTAAGCATACGCTAAATCTTGTGGCAAATCTTATCCAACTGACAAAGTAGAAAAAGCAATTATTTATGTTGGAAGTCGTATGAAAGAAAACATAAAAAAAAATATATATATTTAAACATAATTGACGAGATTAGTTTTGAAACAATGGCAAACTATATATTTCAAGATTTTTAGAACAGTATTCCATAAATAAAAAATCAGAAAGTTCAATGGTAAAAAGCACTATCGTAATTGTTACGTGGATTAGTTGTGTGCAATTTAGAGAGAAATTAAAGTGATATAATATTCCATTATAGATCAAATTTTTTAAAGGCGAATTAAATCGTCTTATACAATTTAATAAACTAATCTTGCGCGTATCAATTATATGTCTATTCTGGATTTATCTCGAAGATATGCTTCAAGTCAGTATGAAACGTCTCTTTATCAAGTAGCTATGAATCAATAATTTGTTATTACACAAGCAGACTCGTACGAAAAAAAAAAAAAAAAAAAAAAAAAAATTAAAAAACGCAAGCATACCTACATACAAACCAAAATATCATACACACACACTTGTCTGTACACTGATGCATACGCACACGTGTAAGCATATGCATAAACGCATAACAATTTTCTCTTTTCTCTCTGGCCAATTATTCGGTTAAATTAGTGAAATATCCGTCATTGAACATATTATACTATGCTAAAGTGTGACTTTCCATTTTTCGATTCTTCAAATAGACAGAAAAAATAAAAATAAAAAATAAAAAATAAAAAAAATTAAAAAGAAGCACAAGAGAGAATAAGCCTGTCGTTGGAAAATAATGAAAAAAAAGAAAAAATATTCAAGATTATAATAGTTAATTGAACTTAAAAAGATTAATGTGTATTTTACGTACACACTGAAACAATTTAAAAAAAAAAAACAAATTGTGGTAGGTGATATTCGAAAGCTGAAATAATGTTTAAATGATCCCAAACATAAATAAAGTAACAACGAGCAAAATTAACTGGTTTTATCATTTGTATTATTTTAATTTATTCAATAATTCGCTACATTATCTTTTTTATTATTATTTTTTTTTTCTTTATTTTGTTTATTTTTGTTTTATACAAGTACGAAGCATTAACATTTCATTTAATGCCGATAAAATAAATAATAAATAATTAGTTTACTCTACGCAAAGGCAGAAAATAAGGTCGAAGAGCCTTTATCAAAAATATTGTAATTCTTCCTAAGTCTTTAACGTTACAAGCAAGGGAGCATTTAAAATACACTACACTGAATCCTCTTTAATTAAACAAAGTTAAATAATAGCAATAATAATAATAATAATAATAATAATAATAATAATAATAATAATAATTGTGAGTAAGGATACATTATGGAACCTTTATTCGCACAAACAAAAACAAAAAAATAAAGATAATTATTTCAACTTTACTCTCTATTTAAGCAATAAAAATCTCAATGTACTTTGGAAAATCGTGAGAGCGTGCAAATTTCGTTATTCCCCTCAAAATCGTAAAATAGAAACAAATGCACTCGGTGTAAAAATGTTAAATACAGTGCAGCCCAGTCCCGGCGAAGCTTTGTAAAAAAAAAAAATACTTCTTCATGCAGCGCACGAATGTTGAAGAACGTAGCAAGGAAGTAGATATCTCCATGGGCGCGCGCGCGCGCGCGCGCTCCCCGTCTTATCTGCGGTTAATAGTCCCGTGGGTGTTGCCGCCCTCGAGCTTCTCCGTGGCGATGGCAAGTGGGCCGACCGCTGCGGGTCCCGCATTGAAAGCTCGCGTCTGTGGCTGGTGATGGTGATGGTGGTGGTGGTGGTGGTGGTGGAGGCTCGGCATCGGCAGCGGCAATGGCATGTGTTGCATGTGGGCCGTCTCGTAAAGTTGCTTCTGCATGAGGGCGAGCGAGACCTTATTCGCCGAGAGAAATTCCTTCATGGAGATGAGCTCGCCCGACATGCGCCGCGACGTGTCGATCTCCCCGTCAATCTCGGGCTTTACCGAATCCCGCGGCATGTGCTTTGTTGGCCTACGCCGAGTGTAGTAGATCGCCGACACCGAGGACCTTAACAATTTTTTCCTTACGTTTACATCAAGTCTACGCGTATACGTGGCCCTAATTATTTTAAAAGTTGATTTTTTTTTTTTTTTTTTGGTTAATTAACCGTTAACAAGTTTCATTATAATATAATTTTGAGATAATCGTTTTATTACGTATTAAAAGGTAAATTTGTGTGCACTATTATTCAACTGAAATTAGAAATTTCTGTGCTTATAAGTTAACCGGAATAGTAATGGTCAGCCACTTCCCGTTTGCGCAAAATTTGATCAAAATACTTAATAATACTAGCGATTTTTCAAATTGAGTTAAATATTACCATAATCTAGCCAAATATTATCGACTTTACAAATTTTCATACTGAAGTTTCATTATCGATTTATTTGCATGAATTACCGAAGAAGTATATGCTTCTTGCTTTTACTATTATTAAATTTTTTTCCATTTTTCCACTTTTATGGTTCGCGTTATTTCAAATATTGGAAAAAGCGTTAAAAGCAATATGAAAAAGAATTAAATAAATTCTTAAGTGAAACAAAAAGAACGAAATCAATCGTTAACTATTCCTTAAATATAATTATGACTGTAAAAATGATTAAATAAATAATTGCAAATATTACTATGTAAATTGTTTTAAGTATGTGAATATAGAATGTTTTGGCTAACTCTAATAACTTGGAGTGAAATAAAGAAATTAAATTGACAAAACAAAGATTGCAAAGCACATGATAGATTTTTGGTTCAAATTGAAATAGTAAAGTCGAGTTAAAAAAAAAAAATTTAAATAAATAAATGAAAAGCAAAAGGAAAATTGTGAAAATTATGATATAATAATAATATGACGTGTAATTGAAAGTATTATTACCTTCTCCTTGGCAAATGTGGTGCAGCCATAGAATGACTTTGACAATTAAGCTTGCGAATCACGTAATTCAATCCTTGCTTTATAACTATTGACGTAACGTTTAAAAGCGAGTAAATACAACAGCATCCGATCACCAAAAACATAAAGTTTACAAATCTATACCTGAAAGGGCAATCGATATTTATATGTATATATGTATGTGCGTGCGTGTGTGGGCGCATATATATATATATATATATATATATATATATATATATATACATACACACAGCCAGAGACACACATGTACGTATGTATGTATATTTTAATATTGTTTAAACATAAATAAAAAAAATAGTGATCAAAGACACGTCGATATAGCATAGAACTTCAGTCAAGGTAAAATCGCTTCGTAATTACGAGTCAAATAAAAGCGAGGTTACGACAGTTTTAGGAAAACAATAAAAACAAAATAAAGAGAAAGGTATTCGTCCACGCGAGTAACCAGTTAAAGACAATTGAAAGTGAAAATTGGATGTATACGAGGGAGGAGCGTACAGGTGGACGTAGGGGTAGTTCGGTCGTTGCGTGCTGACGTAGTCGCCGAAGCCGATGGTCGCGAAGCTCACGAAGCAAAAGTAAAGCGCCTCCAGGTAGTTCCAGCCTTCAAGGGGCGCGTAGAGGGCAGCGGCCGTGCAAGCGACCGCGCAGGACGTCAACGAGAGATAGAGCATCACCCAATAGACGCTCGGCTTCCAGTGCTCCAGTCCCACCTAGGAAGTCCCATCCAATGAGTTATCTGACCCCCTTACGGCGCGCATTATCCTAAACCTCGCGAGACATCTTTTTGAGATGCTTCGTAAATTAAATATCGAGGCTCGCGTGTATTTATTTTAAGCGTGGCACGTTCAAGTGCTACTCAAAGCAGTAATTGCAGGCTAATGTCGAGCCCCTGATCTCTTTGAAGCTGATCTGATTTATTGGCAAAATTTTGAGCGAAATAGCGTGGACGTTTTGAATTGCAATAAAGCTCCGCGCAGCCAAAGTGTCAAAGCAAGACATCGCATTTTCGATGATGAATTTTTTAACGCGTTTTCTTATTTGCCCAATAACCGAAATATATTAAAAAATATATTTTATTGTCTTTAGCTATGTCTTTTTGGCCGATGGATGTTCGCTTGTAATTGACTTAATTATCGATTATATGATTAAGCAATCAAAATTATTAAATGTCTTCATTTTAGAATCTAACGCCGCCAATGACTTATTGTTCATTGATAATTAAGTGTGGCTAACATAAAGTACCTCAATGAATAAATTAATCATTTGTTACTTAAATAATATTAATTCACGCAATGTGTAGGATACTTGACAATAATAATAATAGTTATTTTATCGAAAAACCGCGCTCAAACTTAAAAAATTTTGCTTTGTAAATCAGCATTGCCCGTTCTCTCCATAATAATAATAATAATAATAATGATGATGATGATGATGATAATAATAATAAAAACGACAATAGCAATAATAATAGTAATAGATAATAATGAGTAACAATATGAGTCCAGGTATATGTATTGGAAATTTTCAAGTGAATATTTTTCAGTTCTCTATCGTCTCTTAATTAATAATTAACACATCCGATATTGCTATCTACGTACTCTTACCTCTTCCTCCTCGTCGTCAAGAATATCTGGCAATGTCGTTTTACCATCCTTGGACTTGGATGTACGCGAAAGCCTTCGCGAGCTCGCCAAAGTTGTTTGCTTCAAACGCTTCTTCAAGCGCCTTAAATGCAAACTGCGCAAGATCCACGCGAGGAACGTTATGATTCGCTCCAAAAACAGATTGAAGAATAGAATTCCACCTTGAGTCGATAACAGAGAATCGTAAAATTGTCAATCCTTAAATTCATGGGTTATTTAAGCACTTTGGGCACTTGATTTTGGAAATTCTTAATACGTCTGTATTTATCAATGGCTCGTTCAAAGTAACAACACACTTAATGCTCCTTCTTTTTTTTTTCTTTCTCAAGCATAGGACAATGAGAGAGCGAGCAGATTTAGCTGCTACCTACGAGGATATTCGTAATACATGCATTGGCACGTAGCTGCTAACTTATTAAGAAACGCAAATTATACATTAAGTCTCGGTTTAAAAATAATCATATTTTATCACACACACACACACACACACACACACACACACACATATATATATATATATATATATATATATATATATATATTATACTTAATATGTTATATCTAAGAGTCAATAGGACATGAATTTGCATATGAATGGCAAAATTCTTAATCATGCTCGTTAATTACAATATAATCGTTAAAAAATAAATATCACTCGTTTAAGTTTACTCATAAGGACACGACGTTAAAAGCCTCCCAGGCTGCAAAAATATCTTTCTCATCCTCTCGTTAGCCCTATTTCTTTTATTATCAAAGCGCGTATTGCTCCACTTGATCTCGCCACTACGTTTATATGGCTATAAGTGTTTCATTACCAGAGCATCCGAAAAATCCATAAAGAACGACAGCCGCTTTCCCAGCTGAGGTTTGGGGCGCCGTACTCCCATATCCTGCAATAGGTGAATAATATTTCGGCATGCCATTTCATGAAATTGCTTCGTAGAGGCAACAAAAAAAAAAAAAAAAAAAAAGAGAGAAGAAAAAAAGTGTCAGCGCGAATCAAACGTAAGCAAACGGATAAAGTAAAGCGGGACGCTAGAGGAGAATCCTCGCGCATCTTTGTCGTATTAATGCTTACGCGAGTAGTATGTAGAGCTGGGTCATAGTAAATTATTAGGATTCCCCGGCGCTTATTTTTCATTCCCGCGCGTACGCCGACACCATTTTTCGCATACCTACCGATGGTCGACACGATGGTGCCGACGAAATGAAAGCTCCCCGGGAAGTCCCAGCGCCTGCGTTTGTTGATTATCCCGATAGCGGAGGCATTGCCGTAGGCATACAATAGCTCATGGAGACGCTGAAGCGCCTGTGAACTGCCACGAAGATGATGCCGGCGGAACGCCTGGTAGACCTTCCAGAACTCCGCGGCCTACAACAAATTCGCTCCAACAAGTTTCAACCTCTGGCCTTCGCTAGCTATTTGCTGTCTACTATACTAAGCCTCGCGTCCCTTCCTTTTTTTCTTCTTTTTTTTCTTTCTTCTTTTTTTTATTCGATCTTGCGCTCTTTACGGCTTTTTAAACTTGCGTCTCGCTACCGCGACACGTGAATAAATAAAGCAATAGAATTGATAGCGAAACTTTCATTGTTTTTTATTCTTTTTTTCTTTTGATTTTTTCCTTCTCTTTTAACCTCAGATCAAACTTTATCGACTGATACGTTTAATGAATACCCGATAGTTATTTAATGCCTTCGTCAGCTCTAACTTTGCCCTCTTTAGAAACTAAACTGCTATAGCCTTAATAATGAAAGGAAAACCAAGATCGACGACACGTACAAATGTTTTTGCACAGCCATGAATTCCTCGACTCTTTTACTTTCAATTAGATTCTCCGTCATTGGTCATTCGTTATTTACCGGTACTTGCACAATAGCTTTTGCGTTAATTTAAAAATTCGAGGAATTATGGATGCTACGTTACCCAGATCATTTTTATCGCCCTATGGAATCCTTGCAATTTACAAATTTTTCCGTGCTCTCGATATATGTAAGATGAAAACTGAAAATGCGAAGCCTTTAAGGAATTCGAACAAATGACCTAGTATCAAAATTTATTAAAAAAAAAAAAAAAAAAAAAAAAAAAAAAAAAAAAAAAAAAAATTGAAAAAGGTGAAAAAGGTGAAAAAAAAAAGAAAAAGAAATGTAGTTTAGAAAATGTACCAGGTTAAGGTTGACGTCTTAATTTAAATATTGACTTTACCATAGCATAGCATATATTATCCGCCTTATTATTCAATATATAATACAATTGCTTGGATATATTTAAATAACTTGAATTCATCTGTCCGTCCTTCTTCTTTTTTATGAAATTAATATTGCTCGTATTATGATTAATAATTACAATACATAATATATATTATTGAGCGGCGATTCAAAGAAGGAAAGTGCTTTAAGAATTAGTAAAGTATTTTAAATGGACGACGAACAGATTTTGTACTAAAAGCACTAAGTAAACAAATTATTTTCAAATATTTACAATTTCAAAGACACATAATTTTCACTGGTACTGTAAGTAAATTATTGTATATATATAAAAAAAAAATCCATAACCGATCATTAATACTATAATGATTTTATTTGACTTGAAACATTAATTATTTATACTTTATATTATAATCATTTAATATATTATAATATCGAGCTAATAAGTATGTCAAAATGTCAATTTAAAAAGTGTATATTTTCAATAGGAGCTTATAACTAAATATAAAACATTATGTAAAGAAATAATGAACAATACGAAGTAGGTCAATCAAATTATCAACAATAATTCAAGGTGTAAGTACCACAAATATAATATAAACAAAGTTGTATGTCAGTAAACGAAATACAATCACAATTTCGAATTGCTTCATGCATATTTTGTTTAGATCGATTTCCCTTGATCCAAATCTAGGTGCTTAAACCTACTTTTTGTACAGAATTTCTACTGCTTAATATAAAACTACTTCATTTTTTTTATGGTCAATCTCTTCTTATTGAATTAAAATCATTTGAATATTATTACTATATTACTTGGAGAATTAGAAAATAATAACTTGTCTCTCGGCATCATTTAATTAAAAGATTTGGAAACGAAGACGTTATTGGCCAATCCTTAACAAACATTAATTTAACATTACTTTTATATTAATTCTCGATATGAAAAATTCTATGATTTTTAATTGTAAAGAGTAATTTTTCAAAAAAAAAAAAAAAAAAAAAAAAAAAAAAAAACGTAAGATACGAGCACGACTGTGTACATGAATTTTCAATATTCAATTTTTTATCTTTTGGCCTTAAAAAAAAAAAATGGGAAAAATACGTTGGCACTATTTCGTTGTCGCAATTCTATAAAATAAATAGCTTATTCAAAAAATTCATGAAAAGCCAGCGAGAATTACACGTAATGATAAAACTCTTAATTATCAATTTGCTGGTAAGAATTATTGAGTGGCAATGTTTAGACAACGTTTTCTTCCAAATTTCGTTTATATTTATAATGTAAAAATTGTCATTTGTATCTTCGCACAATTGACATACTTCTAAATGAACATTAAGTATCATTTGGAAATCAATAATAATAAAATAATAATAACTATGCGTTAATAACTGAATATGAAATATCCATATACCCAAAATAATGTGCATAGATTCATATTATTTTGCAGCATATTGAAAAACGATTCTCCTCCCGTGTTTCGCATACAGGACTGAACAATGGTATCGAGTAACGAGTTTATAGATTATCCCGATAACGCTTGATGATCTACTAAGATTCTTACAATAGCAAAGTATGTTAATATTTAATTTTAAGATTTCCAATTAAGTGACTAATATAATGCTACAAATGAGTCGCATTTCCCTCTTTTTACCTCTCGCGCCTTCTCCCCCACCCCTCCCTCCCCCATCCTCCTTCCCCTTCCCCTTTCTTGAAAAACATAATTTATTAATTAAATTTTGAAATGTTCGTAAATAGTCGCATTAAAATAGAATAACGTAAGCTTTTCGATTTTGACCGTCTTTTCAATTTTATTTATTTATTTATTTTCTTTTATTGCCGCAGAGACTTTGAGCAAGATTGTGATGAAGAAGAAAAAAAAGATATTTGCATACCCGTCCAATATAATCTCTCGACTGGGTGGGAGATTCACGCGTTAAACATTATGAACGACGACTAGTTTGCCGACCGGAAAACAGCAAATCGTCTAAATGATCGAGGCGCAAGGGGATACGAGTGACAGAGATGTCGTAAATGCGAAAGAGCCAGAGGAACAATGCCTCGATACACCATTAGGACGAGTTTAAAATTTACCTGTCGTATCTCGACATCGGACTCGAGCCTCTGAAAGAGGACAGCCCCGGCAAGCATATAAGCCGCGAGTACGAAGGCCAGGAGTATGAACCTAGCGTTGTCCTCCGCGAGGGCCCCGTGCACGCACATGCCTCCCCGAGTCGCTCATTTCCCATACCTCATCGAGGCCTCGCACTCTCAATTTCCCGCACCCAGTAGCCAAGCCACGACAACGCGCATTCTTCGTCGGCGAGCACTTGGCGATGGCCTTCCTAATGAACTTTTGAAATCGACCTCGGCTGCACAGAGATAATAAGGTTGAGGGAAGGTGAGGCGCGAGCGATAAGCGCGATTCTCCTCCACAAGACTGCTGTCCTTCCGTGGCGGCGAGTCGCTCGAGACTCGCTTTCTTTTGGGCGCTTAAGCGACGCCGCTCCGCTCGAGCTTTCACACGGCGCAAGCTCGACGATACACTCTACGTTTCTCCCTTCGGCGTCACCGACTCCTGGGAAGGGGTGCCTTCGCTTCCCTTTACTCACGGACTTTTCTCGCGACAAATTGAAGATTATTATAATAGAACGGCGACGCTGGATGTCGGCGGATCGGTATGTCGGTCAGCTGACGATAATCTCATGATCCTGATCTTGACACCATTATCATGCGGCTAGCTATTATTATGGTTTTGAGATCCACTCCCGTGTCTTTGAATTTCTCTTGTCTTTGGCTTCTCCGACATTCTTATTACAAGTTAGAGAGAGAGAGAGAGAGAGAGAGAGAGTCAGTATTAGTTTATTGCTTTGACCACGAGTCTCGCAAGGCTTTTTAAAACAATATTGACAAATATTATTATTTTTGCCCTGACTAGAGTGAGAGTGAGAGTGTGAGACAGAGAGAGAGAGAGAGAGAGAGAGAGAGAGAGATATCACGTGTGTGTGTGTGTGTGTGTGCGCGCGCGTGCGCGTGTATGTGCGTGTGTGTAATAATATTTTATTGAAAAGTCTCGTTGATGATATTTTCACGATCAAATTGGCTTTATCGAGAGTTGTCCTGTGATTCATCATTTATTATTAAAGTTTATGAAACAGAAGCTGCCTTTTCATTACAAGTATGTGCGAATAATTTAATATTCCAAACAACTTCGAACACCCTATTTAATGCAATTGAGATCTTTTTAAGATTTCAAACATTCATACGTTCTAAGAATATGTTCTAGAAATATAAATTATAAGTATAAAAGCTGAAGGACTCGTAGAAAAATGGAATCACTCTCAATGATAAAAGTCGATGCATAGATCGCCGGCTCCAAGTTTCTTACGTAAACTTGTAATTTGTTACGTCGATACGTGTCGTTCGCTCAAAATACAGGCATTGAATTTTCATTTCAACGACACTTCTACGAAGACGCCTCTCCTCTACCTCGTGCTTCTGGCGCAATTTCGCACCACTGCCATTGAAAGGGCGGAATCCTTTGAAACGTTAAAAATAGAAGAAAATAGCCAGCGAAAAGCGTTCTTAAGCACACATATACGTATATCTATCGAGATCGCAATATCGCGCGCTGACTCTGACGCACGACCAAATAGTAGGAGACCTCAAATTGCAAATTCAAAAGTATATCGAGCCGTGGCGCGGTAAAAGACGCTTGGCAAACAGTTTCGATAATTACCTCGTGAGGCTGCGACCTTCCGACACGTGTGGATTACCCCCTCTGAGCTAAAATTAGGTACGATGCCCCGAGGGAGACGCGACATCTAGAGTACGATGCGCCGAAAACGTTCGTTCTTCCGTTAGCCTCAAAAAAACAAAAAACAAAACCAGAAAAAAAAACAATGAAATCTTAGTTTACATGCATCCGTAGAGCATGCACACTGGACAAGCAGACCCTCCCCCATCTACCGCATCAAACCACTCTGTGAACTTATAATAGTCATAAGAGGACGATGGGATAAACAAATGAGAATGCATATACCATTTTTAATAGAAAATAGATATTTTTAATCAACAGTTGAACTAGGGCAAGCCTACGGCTTTTACAAAACTATTATTTTGTACAACTTGTTAATATATTAAACACTTATAATACATTAAAAACTATCAATAATAAACATTTCTCTCTCTCTCTCTCTCTCTCTGTGTATGTGCGCGCGTGTTTGTGTTTTTGTGTGTGTGCGTATGTGTGCACGCGCGCGCGCGCATGTGTGTATCCGCGGGCGTGTGTGTACTTATTTTCAAAAACTGTTCAATAATCGATGGCGAGCGATTTTATCGAGAGTCAATCAGTGTCTATTTTGCGCAGGCCCTTCCTCGAGCTTTCGCCACACAACCTGAAACAAAAATTCAAAGCTATAATGTATAGCCCATTGCTCTTAATCCACTTAAACGACTGAATTATATTTCAAAAAGTTTGTCTCAAACTCACGTTACACATCTCCCTCACGAGAGCCTTTTCTCCGTCGTGCCCGGCCTCCCGCTCGAGCTGCTCCCGCACCTCGAGTACTTGTAGCGCCCTAACGACAGCCTCCGGCCGACTCCCGAGATTCATGTCGTCGCTCGGGCTTCTGGGATTCTCCCAGACATCGTTTCGACCCGCTGACCAGCCCTGCACCCTGGCTTGCAAGATGCTCTTGTCCTCCTCGAGCTGCTTCACGCGCTGCTCCAAGCTCCTTACGTACTGCATCGTTTGGTCTACGGGCGAAAGACGGTCAGGATCGCGTCAGATAATGCTTCTTCGAGCCAAGGTCAGCCTCGCACTTACCATTGAAGGTAGAGCAAGCATGCCGAGGGAGCCTCGCGGGCGCCGGCGCCGTTTCGTCGGCGTTGGTGCTCGAGGAGGAGCCGTCGCCGTCGTCTCGCTGACCGCCGCCGCGCTCCTCATCCAAATATAGACACAGCTCCTTAAGCTCGAGATTATCCTTTATGAGTTCCTGCTGCTTGTTATCGAGCTGACGGAGCTTATTCTGGTAGGCCGAGACCTCCTGGCGCATGACGCTCGCCGTGTAACGACCGAAGCGCTGCCATTCCCGGGCGAGTTTGCGGCCCTTCTGTCGGTCATCGTCGAGGAAGCAGCAGAGGTCGCGCAGCTCCTGATTGTCGTCGTTCAGTCGCTGATTAGCCTCTTTCAAAGTTCGTAGCTCGTTTATCTGTCGTTACATAAGAAAGCATGTGTGAAGAAATGATTTTCACGCCTCGTTTTACGGATCAATCATTCTAAGTGGCGTCTCTATAATATTCAGCTTTGTCTCACTTGCTACGTAACGTCGTGAATATTGTGAAAGAATTTATATATTAAAAATTCAAGATAACTACTGATTAATGAAAGGAGCTTACTTACTTACTTACTGCTATTCGCAGTATTACATATATTATTATAATAAGCTCATTTAATGAGAATAATTATATTTTTATAATGATATTTACGTAATTTATTTAATCTATTATGTATGCGCGCGTACGTGTGTGCGCGCGCGTGTGCGTACACGTATCGTAAGAATTATTTTGTACTTTCATTCCATAACATTATTTATCTTTTGCCGGAAGTGAATAGAGCACGACCATAGAGTTTCTTTGAAATTGCACATTGAGTAAGGATGGGAATTGAAGCGAATCGTGTCTTTGCATGATATATCAGTTAGTCGTGATAGTTCATAATATGATATAATTTTAGTAATTAATAATTGAATTTGTTGCGGCAATGTCGGGATCGTCGCGAGCTCTTGTTTTCATTGAAAGCTGAATCGATATCGGAAGGGACGGCCAAGACAAATAACAAAGCAGAAAACTTACGAGGCTCTGAATTTGGCGGTGCTGTTCTGCGGCGAGGCGCGCGATGTCGCTCTCGGTCTTCCTGACGAACTTGAGCATCTCGACGGGCCCTAATCGTAGGAACTCCTCGTCGGATATCCTCTGCCTTGCGGCGATCTGTCCGTTGATATTTAGGGCGACACCATTCACGTGTGCCAATCCGAGTGCCGACGTGGTTGTCGTCGTCGGGATACCCGTCACCGTCGACGTCGGTAGAAAGCTTTTTCCCTGATGGAGAGCGAAACCCGCTTGCAGCTTATCCGCCCTGGCACATCAATCAAATCAAATGAGATTATTGGTCTCTGTTGATTCATAATGGTCGCGATTTTTAGCCTCTTATATTTAACATCGTTTCCATTGCAGCCAAAGCTTAATTCTCATGCTAGGAATGCTCAAGCGACTAAATAGCAGCCTGACATTTCCTCTAAAGTTATTCATTTTTCTCTCGGTTATTATATTACCGCTCGAACATTTATCGCCATTATCGTGGAAAATGAATGTAAATAATTTTCTTCGTCGATAAAAAAAATACTGCGAATATAATTAAATAGGCATAAAAGACTAGATGTATTTAATCTCGCCGAAAAATGATTTCGTTTCCATTATTGTACATACTACATATTTATATATTACCATTACAATTATTTGCTTTAGCGTCTAACATTGACATTATAAATAAAGACTCGTTATCATTAATTTTTTTCAGGCTCTACATTATATTCCTCAATAAACATGCGTCACTCATGTACACCCGAAATGTGTTATACCGCTATCCGTCTGATAAAAAAATTACACCATAATTATTGTTGTAACGTCGACGTGTGTCTTGAATAATTAGGCCTATTATATTTAAAATATATCGTAACGAAGACTTATGGAAATTATCTACGCTACTTTTAAATATCTAAACAGACAAAAAAATCTTTCATTTAATTTGCCTAGAAATATTTAATTTTCAATAACTCTATAATGTTGATTAAAAATAACGCGGATTTATTAATAGATTAAATTAATAAATTAAAAAAAATACTTTACATAAATGTAATATTATCGGCAAGGAATGAAATAAGAAAGCCAAAAAGAAAAAATAGGTTATAAAAATTTTAAAGCAAACGAGCCATATCAAATTATTGTTAATGTGGGTAATTTTAAAGTCTTCCATTACGTCAACCCACTGTCTATTCATTAAATCACACATCGAATATCAAATTTAAACACTTGTATTCTGTTATTAATTAAGTCAAAAAGACGTAGAAAATGTGAATTTTACTTTTCATAAAAGTTTCGTTCAAACGACCCCTTAAGGGTCGTAAGTATAAATATTAAAAATTTCAACTTGAATATTCATCGATCGACAAGATAGAAAGACATAAAATGTTAAACCGAAATGTGCAAATCACGACATTGCAGCTTTGTTATTTCGGAATGCAAGTCCATTGCATCAAGTTAGCAACTGCATATTTGGTATAAGTTTTTCTAGAATAAACTTTTAACAAGAATCTTAAATCCAAAGATGGTTTGCCCAATGATTACGAGATAAAATAGCGATAGGTGCCTGTAAATTTTTAAATCTAGACTATTCTCGAAACTAGCAAATACCAAACGTATGATGTATATATACAAGTTCATTAGGATGGCACGTCATAAGTGCATGAAAGTTGAATTTTAAACGATTAGGAGCTACTGTCCAGTGAACGAAACGAAGAGAGAATGGATTGGAAATAACATTGGGCATAAGTGACAGTGCAGTGGACAAGAGGGTGAGTAGGAAAAAGGAAAATGGGCGCTTGCAAAAATCTCAACATATATGTGTGTCCGGACTTACCGAGCTGCCTGAGCGTGGGGCAAATCTACTTTCTGAGCGAATTTGCTCTGCACCGCATCTTTCACCTGATTGGCGAGCCTCGTCGCTTGCTGCTGATGCTGCTGTTGGAGCTGATGCAACTGGTGATGGGTGAGGGCAGCTGTGCCGGCTCCCCCGTAAGGACCCTGACTCTTGAGGATACTGGAGCTCGGCTGGGGTGGGGGTTGGTATCGTGGCGGCACCGGCTCAACCGGGCCTTTCAATCCCCCCGACTGCTGCTGCTGCTGCTGCTGCTGCTGCTGCTGCTGCTGCTGCTGTTGATGATGTTGATGATGATGTTGCCTCTGCTGTTGATTAGGTGCGTGCTGTTGCTGCTGCTGTTGATGCTGTTGGTTCTGATGCTGCTGTCCCTGCTGCTGCTGCTGCTGCTGCTGCTGCTGCTGCTGCTGCTGTTGGTGCTGCTGCTGCTGCTGCTGCGACTTACTCTTATTGGACATTGCGCGATGTTGCTCAGCCGTGTCCTACTATACACGCTGTGCGTGTTCGATCGCCTTCCCCCCTATGCTGTCTGTCCCGTTTTACCGAAAACTGCCGCTTTCCCGCCCAGCCTCCGGTCCCACTCTCGCTGCATCTCGCCCTCCCCCAAAATCCGCACACGCACTCACTCGAGATCCAAAGCCAAAGCCAAGCGATATCAAGAGAAGAGAGATAGATAGATAGATAGAGAGAGAGAGAGAGAGAGAGAGAGAGAGAGAGAGAGAGGCAGACAGAGAAGGTGAGAGAGAGACAGAGACAGAGAAGGTGAAAGAGAGAGAGAGAGAGAGAGAGAGAGAGAGAGAGAGAATGGGCAATGTGGGTCAGTCAAGTCCAGACGATCAGGGCCTTATTATCGCACGTAGCGCTCACCTTTCCCTGGGTAATGAAAGATATGTGAATCTCGCGACACGGCTGCGAAACTTGTTTCACTCGCACACCAGCCGAAGTGTGTCTCCTACGCTCGAGCGCTCGCTGTTTACACTTGGGCACGCATTAGCGGAACTGATATTTCCCCATATCGTATACCTCGTAGCCGTCGTCTTAATTGTATGGCTCCTTGGGCCCCGCTACGGGCATTTTAAACTCGCGACGCACTCCTGGCACGTATCCAATGATCAACTACTGGAAGTAGGAGAACGTTCTCTCCAAGAGGACCAACCTCGGCGACACGAGTGCACCAAGTTTAAATGCTTGACCGCAGCGTTAGATGACGTCCAACCACTCGAGCACCATCGATTCGATCACGGACCGCGCAAGGATGGTGCCACACGCTCCTGTTGACCCCGTACTAGGAGATCGCGTCGACTTTTCAGAGAGAATGGAATGCGCTCTACGGCATTGCCCTCAGGGTCGGCGACATCCCGGGTGCTCGAGTCCAGCTCGCACCTCGTGCCCGCAGTTCCGTTCCGCTTCCATGAAAACCGCGAGCATGTCGCCGATAGTGTTCCTCGGACTCTCGCGTCGCTCGCAATGAGAAAAGTGGGATTTGACGGTAACGGCAGCGACGGCGGCGGCGATTGCGGCGGCTGCGGCGGCGGCGGCAGCGGCGGCAGCGGCAGCGACGTCGGCACGAGAGAAAATCCCTGCAGACGGCACGGGCCCCTCGCGCCAACATTCCGCTGCGGCTTAGGGGAATGGCGATGGCGGTGGTGATGATGGGGGAGGGGGAGGGAGAGGGGGGTGCGCGTGGCAAAGGACGTGGGAGAAGAGTACGAGGGGCCTTGTGGCAATATGGCGAGCGCGACCATCAAGCGGAACGAGGAGAGAAACCAGGAGAGGCGCGATTTTGCTCGCCCAAGGCACTCTCGGCTCAGCACGCGAACCGTCTTTTTGCATTCGATTTGTAAATGTTGTTTAATTGACAGTGCGGTTAAGCAGATAGACGAGGCTGTAATAAAATTTTGCGACGACCACGAGCCCAGGGATGATCATCCGTTGGTCATTATTGCTTGTGCCGCTCGGCGACAGGTAGTTCAAGCGACTTTTATTGTTATGGGACTGGTATATTACCGCACGCACCTCATCTTCTTCACCAGCCCACACATCGTAATAAAATAATCCCGCATTAATTAATTAATGCCTTTTCCGGTATTTTTACCAATATCGTCGTAGACAATGGACTTTTCCTTCGTTTATTTGCGTTCGAGATTGTCCGAATTCTTTTAACAGGCTTATTCATGGCACTAGCCACGCGTTTAATAACGTTACGGTTTGTGCACTTTAACGACGTTTTAAATACAATTTTTTGCTTTTTATTTCAATCATTGCTTCGTCAGTGCAAAACATTTTTCCAATTAGAAGAGAATAATCTGTTTCACTTCGGTTAATCAAGTATTAGCAATGTAATAATAATAATAATTATTATTATTATAATAATAATAATCGTCATCATCATCAAAAATTTGACTATAATATGTTATTTATATTTATATTTTTATTTATTTATTGATTTATAAATTGTTATTATTATTACTATAATAGTTATAAAAATAATATCTACAACGACGATGACGACGACAATTTAAAGTAATTGCAAAATCTATTTATTCTTTAAAGTTTTTCGTTTCAATGAAATTCAAATAGAAAAAGATTTTAACTCGAATTACCTGCGAAAAGACTGAGGCGGGAGATAAATGAAAAACTGTGAACCTTGTAAGCCAAGGCGTCATAAATGACACAATGGTGTGCCAGGTGTATTGGTTGGAAATCTTCAAAATTATCTACCTGACGTTACATCGCTCCAAACAATCTGGAAATTCCTTAAGAACATCTCCGTCAGCCCTACTCACCGGAACTTACCTTCGAGTATTTCGACCTTGCCCTTGAGTTACCGTACTTTCTCACTCCTACAATTGTTCCGTGCGAAAATTCTTTTTACGCATTCTTCTGTTCCTTTCATCGCGTAAGCATTTCTTTTTCACTTTTTACCAAACGAATGTCCCGGCTGTAGTTGAACATTATTTATCGTCTTAATTGATAAATAATCATTGAGCCTACAGGCAAAAAAAACAAATTAATAACAATTTCGGCACTTGCAATTGAAAGTCAGCAAGCAATATTATTATAGCAATATTATAGCGATATAATAATTGTCAGAATTAAAAAAATTATTACTCTTTCCATAAATTTTGAGCATTTTATTGATGATATATAGAGTGGTAACTCGAAATTTCAATACTTCTAAAATATTTATCAAAATAAAATCAAAAATACTTATAAAGCTAGGGTTGCGGACAATTTACATTAATACATGAACAGCGTGAGCAGTGTCAGTGGGTTAATTTTAAAAGTTATTCGTACATTGTAAAAGGAAAATTTTTTAAAACGAGGAAACAAACGAACAACAATAATCAACAACTACATAAACAAAAATAATAAATTTTTTGTAGCAGTGGGTTCAATGTGTGGTAAGAAATGCAAAATTTCTATACGTAAAAATGACAATTCTATGGCAAAATGACGCATTGTAAAGAAGTAAGGAAATAATTGTTCGTTAATTGTCTCTCTCCCAAAGTTAAGTAAACTAAGCGTCATTACAATAACTTTATCGTCGCTGCCCAACAAAGAGCCAATAGACAGAATCACGTACCTCCCGAGCCGTCCAACCAAATCCAACGAATCAAACAAGCTCTAAAGATTGGCATCTTTAATAATTAAAATCCGCAAGTTCAGAGTTAAATTCAGAAAATAATTAAGCGCAAATTGGGCTGGTTCACGTTAAAATGTAACTTTCGATCGCAATGCCAATCATTCAAAGTGAGAAAATCCTAGCGCCATTGCAGCTCCATCTGCCACCGCACTTCGCAGGCTTTAGTGGTGCCGACCACGCGATGGAATAGTATTGCCCTGAGAGTTGCTTGTAGCCGCGATAACGTAGGGGGATATCCCGAGATGTAAAGCCAGTGGCGTCCGCTGGATGTCGCTGGGGTATCCCGGTGAAAAGTCGATGCTGGGATTGGGAGAGTACGGACGGGCTGTGATGTAGGCGGCAGCGGCGAGTCGTCGACGTACGATGCCAGGGACGACTCCGCTTTTCCGGAGGACTGCCTCGACCACGTGGATAATTCGCAGCACGGCTGTCCAGGCATGACCGAGGCGAGGGTGCCGCGACGAATCGCCGAGGTACGTAAGCATCGATGCGGATCTTAGGTCGGTATCAATTGACTCTCCTTCGGGTCGGCGGCGGAGGCCGTGGGGTCGTGGGCGGGCGGCGAGCGAGTCAGAGGGGGCAGAGGCTTCTCAGCCTAACACGCACGTGTGACTTTTTAAGGGCCAGCGCCATTTTTTTCCAATAACTTGGACCTGGATGGATGTAATGGCTAATACAAACATTACTTTTCAGCTTACAGACTCGATCGCTTTTCCTTTATCTGCGGTTATATAATCATCCCGGTAATTGAAACCATACCGTCGGCGTATTGATCCGCCGACAACCCTGTACCTCGTACTTTAACTTGGCAACCAAGGTTCCCTAGACTTCGTTTAATTATTATTTGTTAGCAAAATTAGTGACCACCATTGTCCGTAAAAGTCTCGCGTGAAAACTCTATTACGCATATTCCTAGAATATTTGATTGTTTGAACTGTCAAGTAATTGCAGTGCTAATACAATTCTACTTCACGTTATTTTTGTGAGCATTTATATTAATCGTTAACCGTAGCACATATTTGTTTATTGCTGCTCCGGAAAATTAATATTATATTTTTCTATTTTGAAGTGACAGCTAAAATTAGTTTACCACGAAGGGATTTTATTTGTTTTGCTAATATTTTCTTAGTCGAACATCCCACGAACGTTAAGTCGTCTATATTTTTCAATGACGCTTGACGCTTCAATTCATGGATGACAGATTTCAGCAATAATTAAATTTCATAGATAATTTATATGCAAATATATTACCTGTGTCTCGGCTTATTTATCCGAATTAACCTTCGTTGTTACTCGTCTAAATAAATACTACGTACTGTGAAAATGATGGGAAAAAAGATTAAGATAGCAAAAAGATAAAATAAGAGAGTGACAATGCATGCAGTGTATGCGCGCGCGTGTATGTCGAGTGAGAGAGAGAGTGAGAGAGAGAGAGAGAGTGAGAGAGAGTGAGGGAGAGAGAGAGAGTGAGAGACTAATGAAATACTTAGGAAATGGAAAAACACAATAGCATACATAATTACTATAAATATAAAAGTTTCATAAATTTGAGTTTAAAATAATTTGTATAAGCACATTAAACCGTAAAAAATATAGTAAAATTATCAATTATAAATTTTAAATATAAAATAAAATTATTAAAATATATATAATAATAAATAATCGTGTAAAGTAAACTTCATTCAAAAATTA